ATTGTTGCCTTTGTCTTAAAATTCCAAATCACTCTGTATTTTGTTAAGTCTTGTATAGACTTTTGTATAGAATCTGTTAAATTATAGTCATTATACTATAGTTAAGCAGCTTCTATTATCACTATAGTTAAAGAAAAAACTACAGGTTAATACTATATATACTATAAGTACTGTATATACTATATATAAAAAAAATTAGGCTATTATATAAATGACATATCACTAAGTGTAATAAATAAATACCAACTAATTTATTTATATAGATAAATTATTTAATGCTTAGTTACACCTATCCTCAAATTATATTACTATTAGTATACTAAATAAGTACTAACTAAGTAGATAATCTAACAAAACAAAAAATATCTAATAATTTAATGCTATTGTTTAAAATAACTAATAAAAATTATTTTGATTTTTTTATGTTTATAATTTTTCTTCTTTATTGCCTTATTTTTATTATATAAAATTTATAATCTATTATTATTTAAAAAAAAAAATTAATAATAAAAATAAAATTTTTTATACTATTATAACAACAAGCTTAAAATTACTTTTATAATACTTTGTCTTACTTAATTTTTATAAATTGTAATAATATAATTGTTAGAAATTTGTTACAAGTATTTTTCATGATTTCAATAAAATTACTCTAAAAAAAAAAGAAAGAAAGCAATCAATAAATATATTAATAACAGTAATTAACATATAAAATAATATATCCAGTAAAATAAATTAATAAATTAAACATGTTATTATTATGCTTAAAATTTACATTGATTGCCCCAGTAGCATCAATAGATTTTTACTAATTGACAGTTATTGACTAATTAAATTATATTTTTATATGCAATATGATATTTACTATTTTCTAAAAAAAACTATTATAACTCAACATTTCATCTATATAACTATTTTCTGCATATTAATAAATAAATTCTTTTTAAAATTTTAGTATAAAATAAGTATTATTATAATTATAAGTCCAACCTTAATGTATTATTTTATGACTTTAAAAAAATACTAATTAGTGGAAGTTTGTTAATGTCTTGAGTTAGTTGTTAACACCTAATTAAAGTTATAATTTCAGATATCTGAAGTTGCATCTGACTGAAATTAATACCTGAAATTAACCCATCTTGCATGTACTAGCTAGCAGTTTTAGACAGTTGCCAACTTAAATACCCAAATTTTAACTTCAAGCAGATGCAAACTTCAAGTATAATATTATTATTATAATTTTATAGAACAAGAAATTATTTAAACTTTATCATTGACTTTGATATATGAATCTAATAACTAAAAATTAAGCTACAAGTCAGATGCTTAATCTGATAACTGAATAGTTCTAATCTATTTTATTTTTATAAACTAATATTATTTGACTTTAAAACCTATTTTATTCTTTAATTAACTAAAATTTATCTAAATCTATTGTTATTATTATTTTATAAGAGATTATAAATTTTCAATATTAATTTAGTTTAAATAGTTAACTTTATTAAACTTTGAATATCAAATAGGTAAGTCTATAATATTATAAATATTCAAACAAAATTTCTTAAATTGAAATATCAATATTCAATCAATTTTAATACTTAAAATAAGAATAGAATTTTGAAACTTTGAACAATAATTATAATAAATCATTATATGATATTATGTAACAAAACTTATACTAAGAGTAGAGCATCTGCTCAAGAATATGATCTAAAGAATTATTAAAGCTTGATTAAAAATACTAAATACTCATAACTGTACAGACTAACAGAATAACTTATATAATTAGTTACAATAATAATTCAATATTTAAATAAAATTAAGAGTTGATATTTATAAGAAAACATTAATATAATATTATATAAGATGTTGTTAAGAATATTAATTGTTTAGAAAGTTAATAGATATATGTAGTTAATCATTATAACTATTTGATATAAAGAATAATCAATAAACATAATACTAAAACACATAACAATTATGAAAAATCTGATGATTATTATAATCTTTTATAACTAAGTCATCATGTTTGAAGCTTTATTCAAAAAGCAAGAAGATGGTTTTTTTATAATTTTGAAGTACATAGGAATGGTTTATATATATTTTGGTCTAGCTCTAATTAAATATATACTTATTTCTAATTTAAAAAACCTCTTTATTCTGCCCTTTATTCATTTTTATATGATTGGTCTAAGCAACTCTACCAGAATGACCTCCAAAAATACAGCTTATATAGTGGTGCCATCTACTATAATTGTATCAGTACTGGATTTATAATGTTATTTCTATGTATAAAATTTTTAATTCTATATTGCATATTTGCATATTTGTGCATTGTGCATATAACATAAATGATACTATCACATGATCCATATTTTTGAAGGCTACTTAGTAAAGTTGTCTGGGCTTTGTTCAGGTTCAATCCTTTTTTCTTATTTACCTCTAAGCTTTAGTTTACCTCTAAGCTTTAGTTTACCTCTGATCTTTTAAGCCTTAGATAAACAATTAAAAAATCTATAAATACAAATTTTTTATCTTGAAAATGACTTTATCAAATATAGTAATTACTATATCATGTAGGGTCTTTTAAGACAAGGACCCTATATAACTAACAAGTGAAAGATGACAAATAAATAAATATTTGATCTCTCCAATGTTCTACCTTATCCATCTGCTTAGCTTCACAATATTCTTGGGTTTGTGCACACAACATGCATTCTTGACATGAATTTTTTTTAAAAAAAATGTACACTATTATTTTTACATCATGTACTAAACTATGCTATACATATTAACTAAATCAACTTGAAAAGGAATATGTCTTACAAACTAAATCGACGCAAATAAAAATAAGTGTACAAAAAAATATCAAATATAATATTTCGATTATTACTTAAACTAAGAAACAAATATAATCGATAACAAACATTTATAAGATTGATGTGAAAGCATTACCATTTATACATAGTTACTGATCTTATAATGCTAGAACTTCGATTAAAAAGTAATAGTCAAATATTATAAATTTAATACAAAATCTATTTTATTCAAGCTCCCTTAATTTAAATAAATTGCATAAATGTTCGTTCGAATCTGCATCTGTATTGTACCAGTACGCTACTATACACATAACACTCATTAATAACTCCCTTTAATCAACTCAAACGCCTAGTTAAAACTAAAAAAAAAATTGGCTTTATTAAAAAAAAAAATCATAAATAAAAATTTTATTCTATAGCTTTGTTTAATTATATTAAAGTAATCGTTTAATATATAAATGCCTTGAAAATAAAATTTAATGATTTTGCCGATCTACGCATAAAATCGGTACTACCTTTTATTAGTATATCGTAAGCCCCAATACTGTATGTACTGTACGCGAAAAAAAATCGAGTATCCTATAAATGACATATCACTAAGCAAGTTAGAACTTTAAAGTAGATGATGCACGATGCTCATATTATGAAAACAAGAAACGATCTTGTCTTCAACTAATTAAAATTAATTGGTACTATTCGATTAGTATGAGTAGATCCTGCACGAACCTTAATGTTCACACAGTAAAAGTAGCAACTGGTTTTTTTTACATTTATAGCACAAGTTTGAACTTAAAGAAGATCATGCACAACTCCTATACGTGAAAACTTAGAAAAATCGTGTCTTTTGTCTAAAAACTAATCTAAAGCCAGTCATGTTGTATCACAGTATAAAAAACTTATGTTATAACACTATCTGTTTTTTAACGATAAAGAAGTTTATTTTTTTATACATGAGGACGTTATACATAATTTATTTATTCTTTATATGTCAGGTGCTCACTTTGTGTATTTTATTATTTAATGTATGGACAAGTTCGTGACGGTCTTGTGGCGGAATACTTTTATTGTATTTTTTTATTTAGCCCACTTTGATGATAGTTATTTAAATAATAAAATCTGAGTGACCATTTTTTTATTGTTTCGAGCAAAAATGCGAGCTAAAAAAAAGAAAACCGATAAAGATACTAACCAACTCACAAATACTGAACGCAAAAAACGTGGCGCGAACAAAAGTTGTAAAGAGCGTTTAATTTATAAATACAAAGAATTTCTTAAATATATGGAACGAGAGAAATTACGACGTAAAAAATGGTGTGTCGAGTTTATTGAAGAGCAAATAACTACAGTTGCAACTTGGATGAAAGAAGCTGAAGCATTAGACGCAGATGTGATATCTGAACAAAGTAAGTCTTTAGAGACGAGACTTAATGTATATACCGATCGATATATGTATAAAGATAAAATTGCAAGGTATCATTTAATTTATTTTTTTTATTAATAATATTTTTAATTTTAAATTAAATTTTTTTTTGATTTATTAGGTTAGAAAAAGAAGATCGAGAATTGCAAGTAATCGTTAGAGATAATAAACAGACGATTTCTAATTTACAAAAACAAACAGGCGAGTTGCAACAAGTATCCGAGTTGGAAAATCAAGCTACTATTTTAAAAATAGAAGTCGAGAATAAAAGTAACCGAATTGAAGCGTTAGAAGATAATTTGTCACGAATGGGACTTAATAGCTCTGAAGATAAACAATTTTTTTTGTTAAAACATTCTAATAAACATATGAATGCTGAAAGAGACGACTTAGAAATGCAGGTAATTTTTTATTAGTATTAAAAAAATAAACTTTATTAACTTATTTTTTTCATCATGTTATATTTATAGCTTCATAACTTGCAAAAAAGTACGAGGGTTTAGTAAGCGAACTTATTAGAATTAAGGGAAATGAAAGTGTTGATCTAGTGAATGAAATAATTGATTTAAAAAAGAAAAACCAAATTTACCACCAAAGATTTCTTGAGATTCGGGATGAGTATAAAAACTTACAGAGAGAAAATAGGGATAGTTCGAATATAGAGACCCTTTATGGTTCGAATGTGGAGACCATTGATGATGAGACCATACTCATTGACTGATTATTTAAAATTGTCGTTGCTGTTGTGGTTTTGTAATAAACCGAAAACTTTGATAATCTAATATTCTATTTTTTATAAATGTGCCTAACTCATGTAATGAATCTCTTCGACATAAGTGCGCGTTGCTTCTCGCCAGAGATTGCTTTAAGAGTGATCGAAACGTTTTGGAACTGATTATGTCACGGAAAGAAAAAAAAGCACGTGACAGGTTATATCGATTGTAGCCAATAAATCAATTACCAAATCGAAAGAGCACAAAGATCAGAATTTAGTGCAGGCTTTAATTAACTTAATATTTGATATTTAAAAATGTTCTCATATAACTAAAATTTCGTGCTGAAACCCTTTATTTAGAAGTCAAACTGTGGTTATCGTAGTAAAATCTTGAGTTATTTGCGATTTTCTGTTTTCACAATGCTTTTCGAATTTTTTTAAGTTACACGAGATCTTACCCTGTCACCAGTACGTGCGAACAAAAAACTATAGGATGATTACAATAATTTAGTTTAAAATAAACCGGACTTTGTTCTTGAAATTAAATTAAAACTGTTATTGTTATAATTTAAAAAATAGTTTATAAATAGACTTTAATGTATTTATAGATAGAATAAACTTGAAAGGAAAAGATAAACACCTAAAATAGATTTTGAGATGTTTTTTACTAAGGCATGCACGAGTAAATCAAAACATGATATTGAATGAGTTCTTTGTGTCTGGCCATCAACACAGTAAGCAAATTTTATCGACTGACTCTTATAGAAGCTCAATCTTCGAAAATTTAGAAAAATCAGCAGAATTAAACAAATTACTCCAAGAACTTGGAATCATTTACATAGACAGAAAATATGACATGAATAAAGAACATGATGAAGCACTGAAATATTTGAAATGAACATGTTAATTAAAGGAAGAACGTGCTTTCGCATTTATTAATTCAATTAACAGTCAACAACCAATAAATTTATATTTTCGGAAATTAAGGAAACTCAAACGAAACTCTGGGATGCCTAATAAATTGATAACAATCTAAATATTTGATTAGAAATAATCTTTTTGATTTTAATTTATTCAAGTAAAAATTAACAAAATGTTATACCATGACATAGCATCTTCACATTCCATCGTAACACTATCGATGTGTAAATTTTTTGTCTGCCGCACGCCTAAATTTATACTTTAGTGTAATAAAAACATTTATACTGACACGTTTGCATATTAGCTATACACGAGGTATAAAAACTAAATATTTCGGTACAAACTTAATCGGCATACAAATGTGTTTTGGAAAACCAAAACAGAAATTTCGGACGATTACACTTTCACCATTATCCATCAGGTAGATCTCACAACGTAATTCCTGTAGGCCAGTTTCATTGTCTAGACACCTGTATGCATCAATTCGAAAACTTTATTTGCCTTGCTTCCACGAAGCATATACACACCGACTACGAAAGAGAATTGATTATCAGTAAGCAAAAGAATATCATTGGACATCAATCATGTTTATAGTATAAATTACTAAACTTAGTTTATTCTCTGACGGCCTCTAGTAACCTCCCTAGTATACTCCTAAAAAAAAAGTTCCGAAACTGGGTTAAAATTTTTTCTGAATAACAAAATCCTATATTCAAAATCAGAAGTCTATAATCAGCTAGGAATGGTTGATACTTAATTGTCGCATTTAATAATTTATTAAGAATCAATTTCTTTTAAATAAATCAAAGCATATGATGTTTTAATTTCTAAGAACTGTAATTCCATCACCATCTATAATTCTTTCACTTCGGCAAATAGTAGCAAAAATTACACTGAAAATATATATACTTAAACTAGACTTTGGATGTCAATTTTGGTTGATTTAGTTATATATATTTACTAATTAAAACCACACCAAAAACAATTATGGCTCATGCCGTAACAGCTTCTGCTGTTGCAATAATATCAATTCTTTCAATTAAATCATTAATACAAGTGATTCTTAATATAAGAAAGTTGCCTAATTCAGTCAAAATCTTATATTAAGATTTTCTTATATCAAAGGTTTTTTATTATAAATTCTTAATTAAAATTTGAAAAATCTTATACCAAAAGTTTTTTACTGAGAGTTACTGGTATTTGTAAATATATCTATTTAATAGCCATATTGTTGATTCTAAATTATTTGCTACTTTTACATTATTTGTGCTTGTAAAAAAATTAGATAATGTTTAGAATTAATAAATGATATTCTTCCCATATATAAAAAATTGTTTTCTAAGTAATTTGCAATTATCAAATATACAATATATACTATTATCTTTATAAAAATAGTTTGAATTAATACTAAAAACTTTTTATATTAAGTTCTGTATATAATTATATGAAATTTAATTATAATTTTTTGTTCCTTTTTAACAAAAATAATCATAATAAAAAACTTTTAGTTAGTCAAAAACAGGCATAAAAAACCTAGTTTAATATTTTTTAAAAAAACTAAAAGAAACCTATAGTTTATTAAAAGTTTTTTTATTTAGTTAATATACTAAAGTATTGAGAAAACCTTTTAAATTTTTTCAAAAATTTTTTCAAAAATTTTCTCAAAAATTTAAAAAATTACTTGAGTTTCTATATATCAAATTAAATTTAATTATATTTAAATAATAAACAACAAAATAAATAAACAGTCAGTTAGAGATAAACAACAAAGTTATAAGACTAGTAAATAACAAAAATACAATTAAATACATGTTTTTTGTAATAAAAAATTTTAAAATAAGTATTAGTTAGTGCACTAAACAAATATTAGTTAATTATTAACACAAGTTAGATTTAGAAATCAAAATAAATAAGATAAACAAACAGGAATAACTTAAATTTATTTGGAAAATAGAAGAAAAAAATCTTAGCTATTTAAATAGTAATATGTTATTCAAAATACTTAAAGATCTAATATTATATAAATCAAACAATATAAAACAAATAACATATAGTATAATAATTAATAATTTGAATAGAAGTATAGTAAATTAGTAAAATAGATAAATTGTCAGCCTTCCAAGTAGTAGGTTGTAAGTTCAAAATCTACTGATGCCAAAAATTTGGATAATTACCTATATAATATATAGGTGATATTATAGTAATAGTATTCTGTTAATCAGTTAAGATAAGATACCTGTAACTATGGTCATATTAGCATAACTGGCAGGTCATAAGACATCTATGCAATGTTGAAGTTATATAAAGAAATGCAAACTGGCATCAGGCAGTGCAAACTCAAGATAAGTTCTTATAGTTATATAAATCTATAGAACTAAAAAACTGAAGCCCACTTAGAAAGACCTAAATAAAGAAATAGCATAGATCTTTGACAGTATTACTGTAAAAACTAAATCTAAAAAATAAATATTAATATAAAAGGAATTAGGCAGACAAGAACCTCAGATAAAAGGTATCACTAATCAGACTATCAGAAGTCTTAAATTAGAAAAAAAAAATCTTGAGAGATGAATCTCTGGAATACCAAAATTGGGTTATATCCTTCTAAACTATTTGGATTAAAAGTCTAAGAACTAAAGTAGAGTATAACTTAAGTATTAAAAATATGCTGTAAAGTTAGTATTGAGGTTTGAGTAAACTTTACAAAAGCAAATTCTGTTAATAAAGATTAAATGTAAATAGCTAATTAGCAAGAGAACCTCTTGGAGCTCTATAATTAGATAATATACTTTGAAATATATAATAACTTTAATGGATATACAGACAGAAAGCTTAAAATTAGATTAAATGATACTTCAATATATAAAAGCTTGTGTGCTATTTGTCAAATATAGTATAGATGTCATTTTGTACAAGTTATGTAACTATAATTAAATTACAATAAAGGTAGCAGTTGCTAATAACCAATGGTCTTAATAAAATCAAAAAAAATAATTTAAATAAAATTACAAAACAAAATTTATTAATTTATGATCAAATTCTAGAGATTTTTTTTGGTATTAAGACAACTTTTTTGGTTTTTTAACTTTTATTAATGCTTTTTTGACAATGTATTCTATAAAGAGTTATTACAGAAAAAGTATACAATTGGCTATATATATAACTTTTTTATATTATCTATTTAAGAAATTTGTCTAAAAATTTATTACTAATTGCTATATCTAATACCTCTGCTTGGGTGCTACATTTTAAGTTCTCTAAATCTGCAATCTGTATTAATATTATTGAATTATGCTTAGATTATTATTTCAATCTTAAAACTATTTTATTCTCAAAGTAAACTTTTTGAAGACTTCTGTAATACTTATTTTTATAATTGATCTAATATTATTATAACAAAACTAATACTTATAGTTAGATTTAACCATTAAACTGTTATGTTCTTATAGTATTTATTTGAACTCTAGTACTATTTTATAGTATATCTAAAATACTTTAGTATATTTTGCATTGTCACCAAACTTCTAATTCAAATAGCTAAATAGAACTATAATTAGGCTATTAGTATATTAGATTAGCCTAATATTTTTTCTAATCTATTCTAACAACTGGTTAATAGAACCTCTATTCAGAAGTTCTTATCTATCTGACTTCTTTACATTGGTATCTATTTCACAAAGCTAGTCTTTATAGTAGTACTTTAAAAATTTATGTTATTTTTTTATTTAGATCTTTTTAAATAGACTTCTTATTTCTTAATTTTAACAGATCTACACAATACAAAGATGTATTTAGAGTTTGCACTGCCTGTTGTCAGTTTGTATTTCTCTATATAACTAGCTATACAGATATTTAATGACTTGGCAATTATGTTAGCATAATTATTATTACTAATATCTTAATCTAATTATTAGAAATTGTTGTTATAATATAAGTATTATATAAATGATTATCTAAATTTTTTTTATTATTAATAAATTTTGAATACTTAACTTACCACTTGGAGAATTGACAACATATCTACTTCACTAAGTTGGCATATTTCTAATTTTAGAAATTTTAAAACAAATTATAATAAAAAAAAA